AGGGAGGTTGTGGAATCTCCATCTCTGGAGATATTTTAAGAGTAGGTTAGATAAATGTCTGTCAGGGATGGTCTAGACAGTATTTGGTCCTGCCATGCGGGCAGGGGACTGGACTCGATGACCTCTCGAGGTCCCTTCCAGTCCTATAATCTATGAATCTATGAATAAAAACAAACGGCAAATTTTTTCATCAATCACCTCTTTTTGTAATCTGCTGATTCTTATCACAAATGTACCTATGGTTGTTTCTGGATGATGGAGTGTGTGTGTGGTAGGTTTTTTGTTTGTGTTTTGTTTGTTGTTTTTTTGCTACAGGTGTTATACTGTGGCTATGTGACATACATGATGTGACTGAAACACTATCATTGGCAGATAACTCTGAAAGTATAGAAAATGATGGTGATCTCAAAGGTGGATAGTCTTCAGAATCCTGTATGTTGAGGATGGATTCTCCTAAACAAAATAAGTCAATGCAGTTATTTAATTATTATTACCATGCTGCTCACTTAGTATTCCTCATTGAATTCACTGACACTCAGTACTACTTTAAAGGTGAAATTGTAAAAGGAAGATCTGCCTATTTCAGCTATTTATTTTTTATCACAACTGCATCTAAAATGATAGTATCACAGAGTAACAGCTATATTTTTTGCTCAAACATGAGAATTCTAGAATAGTCCAGAAGGAAGACAGGCAGTCCTTAAGAAAGAAGTATGAAATAAAAGTTTACCGGTCTGAAGATCCTGCGTGTTCAGACATGTTCCTTTCATCATCTTGAACGCAGCTTCCTCTTGAGAAGGAACGCTTCTCATGATGTTTCATTTGGGCAACCAGGCCTTGCATTTCTTGGTTGCACTCTTTGCATTTTGCATGCATACCTGTCTTACCCACAAGTAGAGGAACTTCATTAAAATATTCCCAAACTGGGTCTCTTTTACATAGGGTTACCATATTTCAGCAAGCAAAAAAGAGGATGGGAGGAGCCCCGCCCCTGTCCTGCCCTAGCCCCGCCCCTGCCCCTCCCACTCCCCCCTCAGAATCCCCAACCCTCCCCCGCTCCTTGTCCCCTGA